GGGTTTAGGGTGTAGGGGTTGAGGGTGTAGGGTTTAGGGTTTAGGGCCGGGCGCGCTTAACCCAAAACACTGAAGCCCAAAGCCTAAACCTGAACTTCAACTGCTACACCCTCAAGGCCAGACTGCCCACTGTTTGGGAGTTGAATTTGGAAGTTCAGATTCCGGGGATTTTTGGGGATATAGACCCTCTCAATAGGGTCCCTTTTGAGAGAGCCAGAAACAGGGTTCAGAAAACCCCCCCTTTAAGGGGTCCCCCCAAAAAACTACCTAGACCCTAAACCCTAAACCCTAAACCCTAAACCCTAAACCCTTTACGTAGAGTGGCCTAGGATTCTGCCCGTCAGCCCAATCCTTGCACCGGCATGGACGGATAGACGCTGATCGGATGCCTATGAGATTTAAAGAGACTCGAAAGTGTATAATGTAAGGGCCTTCATAATTAGAATGGAATGGGGTTTAGGGTTTAGGGTTTAGGGGTCTAGGGCCTTCATAATTAGAATGGAATAGGGTTTAGGGTTTAGGGTTTAGGGGTCTAGGGCCTGAATGATTAGAATGGAATAGGTTTTGGGGGGTATATTATGCTATAATTGTAATAAGGAATCCCACCCAAAAAACAGTGTCGGTAAATATTAAGGCCCCTAAATACTCCGAAAGATTTCCATAAAGAAGGAATATACTTTACATCATACTCGGATCCCTCTCAGATTTAAGGAGGGTTCTTTTGAGCTGGTGTTGGGGGGTTTTGGATACCCCGTACCCTACGGTCATTCATACCTCGTCGTGGGTCTAACTAAACCCTAAACCCTAAACCCTAAACCCTAAACCCTAAACCCTAGCCGCAGAAAGTTCCCGAGTTCTAGGCTAAGCAGGCCGGGTGCTCCATGCCGATCATACGGCACTTCTTCGGAGCCTCCAGCCGATGCCGGGTGTGAGTGGGGTCTCGGGGAGTCAGGGGTTTCAGGGCTCAGTGCATGTAATATAGGGGCCTTATTAATTAGAATAAGGTTTTGGGTATGATACGGTATGTTATTCTATAATTACAATAAGGAGCCCCCAAAATAGTATTGGTAATTATTAAGGCCCCTATATTAGTCGAGGCGCAGGGTGGCAGGAGTGGAGAAAGATACGTAGGAACTTTGAGTTTTAGGATCGATCAACTCACCTGTGCATGTGTACTCCTATGCAGGGATACAGCAACTGAGTTGGGATAACAGAGCTCTTTGGAGTCAGGAGCCACAGATCACAATTGAGATGGACTGCTGAGTTTGTTGGACCGTAATTTCGTTGTAGTATTCGGTGGCACCTCCTCGCAACTTCTCTCATCCTAATTTTCACTATCGCAGCAGAGGTCATAACGATCAGAAAATATGAGGTACGTCCAACATTGACCCTACATACGGGATGTGCCAAACCCCTGTCACAAACAATTCCAATTAAGTATAACTGATGATAATATCCTATTGTCCTGCGGCACGGTCTTCAAAAATTTTGGGCCCGGGCACTAACATGTCCTGTGTTGGGAGGCACAACCATGCCGTGCAGAAATGACATTGTGCCGAATGTACACATACAAGCACACACACACACACACCTATAGAGAGAGGAAAGGAGAAAGAGACCTGCAGGCATGCACGTATGTATGTATGTATGTATGTATGTATGTATGTATGTATGTATGTGTGTATGCGTATGTGTATGTGTATGTGTATGTGTATGTGTATGTGTATGTGTAAGTGTATGTGTA